GCTTTCTATATTGGTTGAAAATATACCAGACCATTTACTTATATTGATTATAGTTTACCTTTGCATCTTCTTCATCTACGTCTTCAATAACTTCATCTTCAGATTTATCTTCTGGTTTTTCTGGTTTTTCCTCTTCGATAACTTCCTCTTCTTCAACGGTTCTGCTTGACCACAAGTAAATTGGGAAATTTATGAATTGCGAGTATTTCTTAATTAAACCTTTGATGGTATCTTCTTCTAGAAAATCGGCGGCCTCATCTTTAAGATACAATGAGATTTGTGAGCCACGTTTCAATGTATTTTCACGTGGATCTTTGATAATTGAAAAGCTGCTCGAATCACTTTCCCAGATGCGTTGAACATCAGCATTATGTTTTGACGTAACAACAACACGGTCGGCAACCAAGAATGCCGAATAGAAACCAACGCCAAATTGTCCAATCATATCATTAGCACTTGTTTCTGAATTGTCTTGAACCTTTGACAAGAAATCGGCAGTACCTGATTTGGCAATTGTACCGAGATTTGTGGCCAAATCTTCTTTGGTCATACCAATGCCAGAGTCGATGATGTGCAACACTTTGTTCTCTTTGTCTGCTTTCACTTGAATGTATAATTCAGAATTGGTTTCGAGTTCTGTATTGTTGGTCAAAGACAACATTCTAATTTTGTCAAGGGCATCGGAAGCGTTTGAGATCAATTCACGCAAGAATATCTCCTTATTACGGTACAACGAGTTAATGATCAATTTCATCATGCGGCTGACTTCGGTTTGGAAGACCTTTTTCTCCGCCTGCAACAACAACAACAACGAACAAAATCGTAACAAAATATTTGAAACACTTAAAAGGGGCGTGTATTTTCCACGTAATCTCATATAACATCGTTAAGATCGATCGATAGTCATCAAAAAAAGCAAATTGTCAATTTTTTTTCCATTTTTCAATAAAAATAAACCAAAAAAATGAGCTAATCATACCTTATCTCGCAATTCTTTGATTTGTGCCACGTTCAATTCATCAACTTTGATAGCTTCTTCTTCACGTTTTACGGTGTTAGAATCTGAAAAAAAAGAAGAATTAATTAAAATTCATGATATTTCAGTCAATTTATTTACTTGAAAAAAATACAAATTCATTTCAGATTAAAGCACAAAAATTCGCCACAAAAATAAAATTTACATTACCTGTTGAACCTTGTTTATCTCCCACATAATTTGGATCAATATTGACTTCTTCAACTTTAATCGCATCCTCCTCCTCACCAGCAGCAGCAAATACTGGGCCTAATCCTATTAAGAAAATTGCAGAAACCAATTGAAAAAAAAAATCACTCGAAATAGAAATGACGAGTTTCTTCGTCTTTTCTCGAATGTTCTATAATGAACAAACCGCTATTGCTCACACATTGATGATAACAGTAACACGTATTACTTTAGATTTAAATTGAACTTACCAGCAGCCAGCAGAAAGATGCCCACAGTTAAAAACAATAAATATTTCATATTTTCTTGATTTATGAAACTTGACTTCAATCAAAGAAAGAAAAATGTCGCGAACGACTGAACAACTGAAAACACAAAACGATTCTGATGGTATGATTTGGATGAGCGACCGCGCCGTACAAGTGGACGAATTCAAAAGAAGTTGTCAATATTTTTCGCAGCTTATACCTTTCTAGCAGTACCGAACAAACAAACCCTATATGCATTACGTGTATTTACAAATGGCTCATTCTGATTGGTCCAAATAATTGTTTCAAATCCGCCATATTGTGGGACATTTCACATTGACAGCACACACTCATTAATATGTGGGATATATTTTTTTAAAACTGTTTTGACGTGGCGCCACATTCAAACCGGGTTATCACCAAACCGCGGGTTTTTACGTTCGGAAAAAAATGTGTTCATTGCCCACAAATAAAAAAACACAAGTACTTTTATATATTCATCAATATTATTCTTATATACATAACAATTTTAACATGCATCTTAAATGCTTGAGCATTTTATAAGTCTGAAACACGCTTGATAGCATAGCATATATCATTTATAATTATATCCAATTTATTCTTTTAACATGTTTGCTTTGTTAATTTTTTTTTCAACGATAAATGTTTGAAAGATTATCATATATCATATACGAAGTGATAATTAGATATTTACAAAGAAGAACTTAGGAAGGTAGAATTTATATGATTGCAAAAAAATATAAGTTGTTTTCAAATTGACTTAAGGAATTTATTGTTTAAACAAAATAAAAAAGGATGATTTTTTTTTTTTCATTCAAAATGAAGAATTTCATATGGACAACAACTAGTGATTCATTAGTAATGAACTGATCGGAAATGATTATATTCAATTGAACTATAATGAGCATTTGGAATCGCAGATTTATTAATAAACCACATGAATTCCATGTGATTTTATTTGTGATGTGATTTGTAAATTTTATTTTAAATGATCACATATCTATTGAAAATATCGAGAGGAGAGTATGTTTTTATTCAGACATTACTCAGCCATAAGCGCTGAATAACATATTCTCTTCTCGATATATTCAATAGATATATAGAAAATGCCCATTGCTATTGCAATTTTTAACAGTTTTTCAGTTTTTTACTTGTGTAAAAGCACAAATCTTTTAAAGAATTTTCAAAAAATGGATTTTCCCAATAATGAGTTGTGATCAAGGGTATGACATGCTATATAAAATGTTGGCGAACAAAAACCTTACAAATTTGTCGGAGTAAACCTTATAATTCTATGAACAAAATTACACAAATATGAGATAGTCAATACGAAATTTGTAATTCAGATTCTATCCTGGAGATGGAGTTATGGTTTGGCACGTCGCCATGTCTCTCATAAACGTGCCATTCCCTTGGTTGTGATGTTTGATCATCATTGCTTTCATACACCAGAACAGAATGCGATAAATAATTGCACATAAATTTTTCTCTAAATCTACAAATTTGAATTTATACGTCCTTTTATTCACACTAATTTTGTTTTCGATAAATTCTTCACTTTTCAGGAATGTTTGAATAAGGAAATCTTCTAGAGATTTTGAAAACTTGTTTTTTTTTTTAATAAACGCTGAATATGTAAAATATTTGTGTTTTTTAATGGGTCATAAATAACTTTCATTCTGTTGCAAAAATCAGCGATGTTGCTTTACACTTATACATTAATATTTCTATAGTCGGTTTTTTGTTTAGGTATATTCTTTTCTTTAAGAAAACATATTTTGTTGTGCCGAATCATTTTCAAAGTCAGACCATGCATTATTCAACTCCATAAATACCATTTTTGCTATTGTTTCGTTATCGGTTCCCGCTTGCTGCAAAATATCAAACATTTCATATTTTCTATGAGTAACATCTTTTAAAGAAATGATAACAAAAAAAAAACACTGTATGTCGTTGCAATTTACCTTGTCTGGGTGAACAGCTAAGCATGCTTTTCTGTATGCCTTTTTAACGTCTGCTGGAGTAACTAATTGATGCATTTCGCATTTTTGCCACTTCGAATCTGTCCATAGTATAGTGTGCATTGAACAGAGCAATGCTCGTATATTATTTTTCTTTCCTTCGGTCCATTCCATAATTCGGAGTTTATCTGGATCCATGTCTTTGATGAGCTCCTCTTTTCTCATTTCGTTAATTGAACGTGGACCGCCTTGAGGTTTTGTCGCAAAATTGTAACCCTGTTGACCAAGAATATCAGCAAATATGTCATCGCCGCCGCCACCACTTGTTGTTGTTGATGTGGTTGAAGATGCTGTTGTTGTTGTTGTTGCCGTCGCTGTGGCACCATTTTGTTTTGGCTTAGTTTCAAAATGTGATCGACTATAATCCGGTTTCAATGGTGGTGGCGGCTGATTATCAACTGGAGTTCGGTGAGATTGTTGTATCAACGACGGAGCTGAATTGGCATTTGGGACAAAACCGCCAAATTGATGTGTCGGACTGGAAAATTTTGGACTCGTGCCAGCTGCTGTGCTGGGTTTCGATGACGATGATTGTGGTGAACCACCCCAATTCAAATTTAAGCTCGATGCCAAATTGGCTATGTCACCGAATGGGTCTTTTCTCGTTTGTTGTGGTATACACGGTGGTTGTTTAGCTTGTGATGGTGATGTTTCGGAGCTTGTGGGTCTCAGTACCTAAAAACAACAGACGAAATAAAACTTTTTTTTAGCAAAAAAAAATGAAGAAATTGTTAAAAACACATACATCGGCATTGCCACCGAACGCACCACCACCGCCAAATGGATCGAAATTTATGTTAATACAGCTCTGTGCTGTTGAATTTGAAGTTCCATTCACATTCAATCCGATGCTACTTAAATCATGCAAATTTGAATTTTTTGCACTATTTGTCGTTTGTCCAAATGAACCGAATATATCATCTAATCCTTGCGGCTTGGCCTTTGATTCCGATAATAAGTCTGGCATCGCACCATTTCCTTGAGATTCAGCTGTTTCAAATGAACCCAGCAGGTCAAAACTGGCCTCTTTCGGTGGAACGTTAGTATTGTTACTGCTTCGCGGCAACATATTTAATAAATCTACCTCGGGCTGTGTAACAACTGGTATAGGATTAGCATTAGTCGATTCCAGATTTGAACGTTCAGTTTCATTTGCGTTTAAATGGGAGGGAATAGGTGGAATCGGCCTTGGAGGTGCTGGTTTTGCTGGTGACTCTGAAGAGCGATTCGGTGCTGGATTTGATGGTCTTGGTGGTGCTTCGAATGATTTTGATGTTGGCTTTGAAACTGTTGATAGAAAAAATGGCGTTAAACAGTCGATGGTGCAAAACTAATGCGTAAACAGGATTACTTACTGAAATTGTCAACAGTTTCATCAAATTCGAGTTGTGTACTGAATAGAGTTATAGGATTTCGCTGCGATTTCAATGGAATCCATGGACAATTTGAAGCAGGTGGTCTTTCTGTGTCTTGTACATCGATCGGAACAGCAACATTAAAATTCATTGGAATGTGCTCGTTATCTGGCAAATCATCCAGTTCAGATTTATCAAGTTGCAATAATGTTTCTTGTTCGTGAATATATCCGGTGTGCATTTGAAATTGACACACTTTTATTCCTTGCGGTTTACCGATTCCCTTTAGAGCATTTCGAGCATGGTACAACGTTACGCAAAAATCACCGCAAATTGTTGCATTCAAATTAACTTGTATTTTTCCCTCACTTGCGTGATATAATCTGAAAGTGGACATATTTTTTATTGTTGATTTTTTTTAGCTTTGTTTGAAATTTAAAAAAATACCTCATTTTATCGTATTCTTGAATTGTCGACAGAATCACTTTGTCATTGCACATAACTTCGACATAGAGTCGACAACCGTCTCTTGCTTTTGTCATTCTGGGAACTGGAGTGCACGTAACTGATTTCAGTGTAATCGGTTTGAAATGTGGTAGATGTGGAGTTGAACGAACGATATCGGCTAAATAATAGAGATATCGAATCTCCGATGGCCGCAAATTTGGGGGAACACGACGAATTGCAAATATTTGAAGTGCATCTTCTGGCTGCTGAACCAAATTTGCGTAGATTAATAAAGCACAAGTCTATATGAGACAAAAAAAATTATTCAGAAATTAAAAATGATCGTACAATGCAATTTATTACCATTGATGCGGCGGCAGTTCGATTATTGTCGGAACTCTGAACGATGACAATGGATTTTGGGTCGGCGCTCAAAAAGCCATACATATCTTCGACTAGTGAATACATGCCTTGCAAAAGTGGTGCCCGATTGTTCAGTGGAAAAATAAAGCTACCTTCTACAGTTCGTACTGGAGGCGGTAAACGGGAACACGACCTCGGACCGAAATTGTATATACTCACTTTGCCCAATGAATATCGGTTTTCAATGTATATTTTTACATCTTCGATATTATTTGTCTTATAGGTTGATTCCAATCCTTCCGATGGACACGGCATCACAAGTATGCGTGATGTGATTGTACTAATATCCAAATCAGTTCGTGTAATCGTTTGTTGTACCGATTGTATAACTTTCGACGATGTATCTTTTAAATTTTTGAACAAACTTCCGGCACCGCCTTTAATCGAGGAGAATGAGAACAGACCACTGGCACTGGATGAATTGATGGTATCATGAGCGACATGCTGAGGAGGTGGCACTGAATGTTGTGGATTTCGAGTCACCGTTGCTGGGGAGCTGGTTGGCCGTGGCGGTGGAATATTTCGATTTGCTGAAAAAAGGAAAAGACGTTCAGCATCGTTTTTCAAATGAAAATTGAACAAATTATAGTCTTGCCTGCATTATTATGATTGACAGGTGCAGGTCGCGGTGGTGGTGGTCGATTTGGTGCGTTATGAATATTGTTGCTTTGAGTATTTTGAGCGGTATGCAGTGGACTTGGATTTGGAGTCATATTTGGTGGTGTTTCAATCGGTTTACCCTGAATTTCAAAAAGTATTAGCATTTTTTTTTATTGTAATGTTATGCGGTAGACTTGAATTCCATTACTTTACAATTCCTTTGATTCTTTTTCCATTATCATCATTCACAATAATTCTATATTATGTGCAATGAGATTTTTCAAATGACAATGTCGATGCGATGATGATTATGATGGTAACAGAAATGTATGTGAGATAGAAAGACAGTGTGTGTGTGTGTGTGTGTGTGTTTATCTGGCCGAATGAATGCATGAGTGAGTAAGAGATGATTGGGAAACCATTGGAAATGTATGAAACTATATAGTTTGACCGCACACAAACGCACACACATTGGAAAAAAACAGATTGTTGACAAATATTTTTGATTTGCTGTGTAGTAGAGAGATGAGCCGGTGTAAACACATCAGCATCAGAGCAACGTCAAAGCGACATTACATTGGGCAGCGAACGGACTGACTTACAAGAGCAGTAACACACACACAAAGAGAGAGAGAGAGAGAGAGAGAGAGAGAGAGAGAGAGAGAGAAAGAGAGACACACATTTTGGTGAGTTGATTTGAATTCTGTAATAAGTGCTAATGTTTGATAAATTTGTGTGTATATTATTTTAGCCAGCCAGTGAAAAGAAGATGTGTTCAGTTTGACGCTACGAAGAACCAAAAAACTACGTTTGAATTGCAAAAGGATTGAAATTTTAAGATACACACTCACCAAGCCAAAACGATTGCTGTTACTACGCAATAGTGCTAGCAATACGTTCGATTGTTTTCCAATTCGAACAAATCAACATACCGTTACCGGCATGTGTAAACATGAAAATAGAACTATACAGAGCTAGTAGCCATTGCATATTGATTCAAAGTGAGACTCGCATCAGCTGCAGACATTGAACAACAATCGAAGTGATCGGAAGCATACAATATTTTGTCTTCTTAATCCGTTGATACAGTTTAGTTTTAAAACATTTATTATTCAGTGAAAATCATCGACGAAAAAGTTTTGTTTAAATTGTGCTGACAACTCAATAAAAATTTGTCATCGAACACTCGCATTTCCTGAAATCACACTAATAATACGTCCGAACAAAACAACATACCGTTAACGGCATGTGCAAACATGAAACTAAAACTACAGAGCTAGTAGCCATGGCAAAGTGAGATACGCATCAGCCGCAGACATTGAACAACAATCGAAGTGATCGGACGCCTACATTATTTTCTCTTCTTGATCCGTCGATACAGTTAGTTTTGAAATATTTATTATTCGGTGAGAATCGACAAAAAAGTTTTGTTTAAAGTGTGCTGCTGAATTTACTTGACAGAAGATGAAACGACGTCGCAAACCAACTTCTGTTCAACGGAAAAAAACTTTGCCGAGTTCGGCAAAAAAGCCATTGAAACGGTAAAATCAAATGAGAGCAAAACGAGGTGAAACAAAGAATAAAAAAATAGAAATATTCACCGTGGTGATGACACTGAATCAATTTTTGCGCGATGAAAAAGTTTTCCTAGACAAACACGTCTGAGTGATTTATACATGTTGAATCATCTGCCGATGCCAAATTTCCATTATTATAACAACAATTAAAATCAACAATCAAAAATATAAGCACGGACGTCTACGCGAATATTCTCATAATGAGAATCTCATTGTTTCAAACAATGATACCAAGACGTAGTAGTGGACGATGCTAACAAGTACTAGAAATAGTAAGCATATTAATTTTTCTCTTTTTCACAGTGATCAACGATCTCAACACTACAATGAAATCTTAAATTTAAGCAATGTTGTTGTTGTGGTCATTGATTTACTTTACATAACTTTAAAAAATATACTCTCTTTTTTTAATTTCATTTCCCATTACGTTCCATTACGCATTGATTAATTTCCATTTTTTTCATTCTTTTTTTCTGATCAACTCTAGGTAGACTTACATTCAATTTGAGGGGTCCTCTCAGTGGCCAACCTTTTGTTTCTGAGATTGCTCCGAGTCTATCCAGAACCATCGATACATCGAAACGTTTATTTGGATCAACTTGGAGGCAGCCTTTGATTATATCGTGAAAACAGAGGTATCTCGAATCACCTGGTAGTTTGAAATTTGCATTGACTATTCTCAATTTGGCCGAATCTTCGAATGGATGCTTTTGAAAACATAAGTAGTAAAGGACACAGCCCAGCGCCCAAATATCACTCTTTGGGCCAATTTCATGATTTGACCATAAATCTAATTGTTCGGGACATCGATACATCGGTGTTGTTATAAATGCCAACTGAAAATCGAGAATTATTAATCTTCAATATACAGAAACTAATAAATGTAAACTCACTTGATCTTCCAGCATATCACGTTGTTGTGCTGACCACGAAACATCTGGTGTAAATGAATCCGTTGTAGCCGATCCAAAATCACATAGTTTCAATTCGCCATCGGTGGTCAAAAGGAAATTTTCTATCTGTAATCCAACGCATGTGAAATTTATCAATCGTACAGCAAAAAACAATTGGTTTTATTTATTTTTATTCATATGTAACAATTAGAAAACAAAAATAAACAGCCCACCTTAATGTCTCTGTGCGTAATGGGTGGATTTTGGTTATGCATATGCGAAATACCTTTACTAATTTGATAAATAATTTTCAATACGGTGTCGGGCTCGAACGTTGTGCCCATGCAATCTATCAATGAGCCGCCTTTGCATAGTTCTGAAACTAGCAGATATTCAGCACTATTCGTGTGGTTGATAAACGATGCGGCAACATATTTAACTATGTTCGGATGTCCCGATAACTGTTTATGAAAGTTTAATTCACGTATAATATTGTCGCAGGCTTGCCTATCAGAGCCTAGTAATCGTTTCAATGCATATTCTGTTTCGTTTTGAATGTCTTGCACAACATACACAAAAGCGAAACCACCTACAAGAATTAAATGTGAAAAAAAAGCATTTATAAAATTGATTTTTTATTAACAAAATGTAATAGACATTAAAAAACAGTTATGATTTTATTGTTCAAAGAGTGCCAAGGTTAAAGTAGCTGCATGCCAACATGCAATTTTTTTTGTTTATATAAGCTTCTTTTGAATAGTCAATATGTACAGGAAATTTTCTTAGTTGGATTTGTTCAATGTCATTTTCATGATAAATGGACAATTGGCATCGAACAATACAAAGAACACTTGTGACAACAACAACAACAACAACAACAACAATAAAAGAAACATCATTCGGTGACAATTCTGAGGCAATCATTTCATAGAGTAACATAAATATCCACCAACCTTCTGCGATTACACGTTTTACACGAAGTTTCACAGCACCAACTTCAACAATTTGTCCGATGAATTCATCGTCGCTGCTAATTATCGGACTCGTATTAAAGTATCCCATCGCAGATTTCAATAAATCACTCATTTTACTTGTTTTATCACTAAATCGGTTTGAACTTTATTGTTTGCAATTTTTCGTTTAAAAAAAAAATCGTGTCGTACAGAATTGTATTATTTTTCAATTCAATATCTATTATGATTTAAACAGAATATAGTTTAATTTAGACGGAGTGTGAACATCGTTCCAAGATACAGATAAATTGGAAAAACATCTACTTAAACAAACACTTAATATAGACAAATGCCAGATTTTAACGTTAAACAGAAAATCTTTTTTTTTCTCTTTTTTAATCGCCCTGCACTCACATACAATAATTCCTCCATGAATGAGTGAATAAATAAGCCCAAAAGTCAAGAGCAAGTGAGTTTTGATTTGTCGTATTCTGTCTATTTTGTCTATTCAATGTACGAGAGTTAGTAATCAAAAGCGCCATATTGTCAAATCAAACAAAACTCCCACTTTTTCATATGAATTGAATACAATGAAACAGGGTGACCGAAGACACAACATAGCAATTCACATATTTTCAAAGAAATTTATTTGCATTCCCGAATAGAGCACGATTTTTTTGAGGAAACAAGTGCACGGACACAACGATAAAACATTGAAACAAATTCAATTCATAACAATCCATTTTGACAGTTCGTACAGTCGTCACACACACACATACACACACATACACAGCCAGACACGTAAAAGACAAAGACCAACACCAATTCATTTCGATTTGAGTTGTGTTGTTCTCCGAAACGTCAGTCAGTTTGGTGTTTGAATTGACTGCGATTGGTTTGTGATTTGTGTTTTATTTTTCTCGAGAAAAGTTTTGTTCAGAGTTTATATTGAATAAGTATTAAAGTAAATATTTGTTCGTATTTCAATCACAAAAGTTGAAGAAAAATCACGAAATTTTTTTCAAAATCTTATCATCAGTGACTCATTTGTGTGCATCAGGCTTTATTAATCAAAAACGAAAACCAAAATAAAAACAATTCATGTACAAAAAAAAAACATCAAAAATTTGTGATCCCCTTAATCGTGCGATTTAAGTGCTTCCTCGTAACAATCAAAACCAATTGATTTTCTGACGGTCACTGATATAATTACCACTGTTGCTTGATACTATCATTAGTCATTTCATTTAAGTGAAATTGAGTTTCAAAATAAGGGGTTTGAAGCTGTAAAACCACAACCGAATATAAAAGAAAAATGTCTCATCAAACGGGAATAAAAGGTGAAAAATCTGGTTCTTCTTCAATGATTATAATCCAAATTTAATAAGATTTTAATCTTTTGGGCATATTTGAATGGTTGATCTAATACGTGCGCAATGCGCCGCGTCCGAATTTTGAATGACCTTAGCAAAAAAAATCACAGAATCCGCGCGCGTTTTTTCTCTTTCCTAACTTTATGTTATTATATTTCATTTTTCTGGTTCATCTCTTGCCAGCATTCTATTTCTGAATAGTGTGTGCTGTGATTGCTTTTTTTCGTTTTTTTTTTCATTATTACGAGATCTCTGCTTTCATCACTATTTTCGTCTCTGGTTAGCGGGCTTACAAAGAAGAACAAGTCATGATTTCGGTTGTGTTTCAGTTTTTATTACTGAAAATTTCTCTCATTCTTTTATTGATGTAAATGTTTTAAAAGTAAACGACAATGTGTCGACATCAACAAATGTTTGTGTGGGTATCCTCTTTGTCGCGCACATCACATAGTCATTTATGATGCAAAAAAGATCGCAAAAAAACGAATCAACGAGTTTAAAATGTATCATGAAGCAGTCAAAGCATGAGATACTCTAATGAATCTTGAATGCCGCGCGCGCAATATGGAAAATAATTATTTTTATGCGCTTGGTTTATCATCGCGTTTTAGATATTATTCCGTGTATATGTGTGTTTTTATTTCTTCTTTCACTCCGCGCTCATCGATTTTGAATGCGCGAAGGCTATATGCTATGAGTTGTGGATTCCACTAGGGGCTTTTACTACCATCACTTGCTTTCTATATCACCTGTATATTTTTTTGAGCTTCACGTTCCGAGCGACATCTCTATGTGCTTGGCATTGAACTCGCGATCCAAACGAGCACCAAAGGCAATTAAAACATTTTTTTTTTTGGTGCGAAAAAGTCAAAAATGTCAACTGATTTTGTGTGAAGAAAAACCATGTGATATGCAACGTCCTCGCAGTTAATTTCGATGACACAAACTGTGCAAAGTAATTTCAATTTATTTTCCATCACAAATTCACTAAATACAAATAATAAATCGGTTTTTGTTCAATTTACACGGTATATCTTTATCGAGCGTAAAATGACAGACGTCACAGCAAATGATTCCGTATTCAAACTTCAAACAATTAACATTCTACACAAACTTTTTGTTCTAATTTTCATGAGCACATAGAGATGGCGCCATCATGCAGTTTTTTACATTATTTGCCATTGTAAGTGATGGTAGGGCTTTTATCTTCAAATGTATACGATTTATACTGTAAATAGTGAACTATATTGCAAAATCATCTGTAATACGCGCAAATAAATGTGCATAACTGCATATATTTGGTGTATATTTCGTGTATATTTCGTCTATGGCATGTTATTTCATTCTCTTTTGTGCGGATCTTCTTCGATTCTGTGTAGCAATACTGTGTGTGTGTGTACACTGAAGTTTGAAATACATCTTATTCACTGGTATAGGCGAGAAATTTTAATCGTATATATGATGAATAGGACGTGAATATTGTGTATAAATTTGTATGAACGAATGATGAAAGCCCCTAGGGATTCCATTGGCGTCGATTTGTTTTGATAAGCTCCACTGATTTGTGTTGTGTATGTTTCGTTGCACAGTTGTGAGTCTCTGCCATTTTTGAATCATGAACAAAAAACCACTATGTGGAGTGAAATATAGCATTTAAAATAGACATTACATCGTGTTGACGAAATTAAACGTAAAAAAAACTACCCACTCTGTACAATTAATTTATTGACAAAACATGTGATAGAAGCATCAAAATAGTTTTGGAAATTCATTTATACAATATACCTAATTGTGTAAAATATTTCTCATTATTTTATTGCGTTATTTTTTCTTTGTTTAGCTAACGATGAACTATTGAGAGCATTTAGTAAGTCTAAAGAAGGCAATACACGTGTTGTTAAGGCTTCTATTGAAAAAGGTATTTGAACCGAAGCGTTACATTTCAAAAAAATGACCGTACAATACACTTAATACGTAATTTTTTTCGTTTGCTTCTCGTTTTATGTCACATGCAGAGCAATTGACGCTGGCTGCGGAGGTCGAAGTGAACGAAGACTGGGAAAAAGACTATAAAAATTTGGTAGAGCCGTTAATCGAAGAAAATACACCATGTTATATTTTCTTTCGTTTGGACACCAAATCGTCCATTGGATATGAGTGGCTGTTGATGAGCTATACACCTGACACGGCAACGATTCGTCAGAAAATGTTGTACGCCTCAACCAAAGCGACAATGAAAAAAGAATTTGGCTCTCCGCATATCAAAGGTATTTTGTACTTTATACAATGTATATTTCTTATTATTTATATAATATTAATTGAATATAATTTAACTATGTTCAAAAGAGGAATACCATGCAACATCGCAGCGTGAAACAACATTGTTCAGTTATAAAAAGCACAAAAAAGCAATGAGCGCTCCAGCACCATTAACTCAACGCGAAGAAGAAATGCTCGAAATTCGTCGAAATGAGGTACAAACTGAAGTGAGCACTGAAACGCGCCAAAAGACCTTAGGCGGCATTTCGTGTGCATTAAGTGAAGCCGCAACTGCTGCAATTAAAGATACTGTTCGCGGTTCCTACAATTATCTACAATTTAAAATCGATCTTAAGGAAGAAAAGATCCACCTAGTCAAAGCCAACAATGTGGAGATTGAAAAATTACCAAAAGAGGTTCCCGATGACGAAGCACGCTATCACATCTATTTGTTTAAGCATACTCACGAGGGGGACTTTTTGGAAAGTTACATTTTTATCTACTCGATGCCAGGCTACAAGTGTCCAATTAAAGAACGCATGATGTACTCATCATGCAAAGCGCTATTTGTTGAAAAAATTCAAGAGCTCGGCCTACAGATTGATAAAAAGGTGAACAAAGTTTTTCAAAAATAAATATAATTAATTAGACACTTGTTTGTTTACTTTCTGTTTATACTTCAATTAGCTGGAAATTGATTCTGGCTCCGAATTGAACGAGGAGTATTTCCAAGATGAATTGCATCCGAAAACACTATTACATCGACCACAATTTGCAAAGCCACAAGGGCCTATGAAAAATCGTGGGGCCAAAAGACTGACCCGACCATCTCAGGCTGATGAAGCTAAATTAAACTGCCTAAATTAAAACCAACGATATTCAGCATAATCAGCAAGCGTTTTAATCGTCGTAATAAAATTACACTAAAAAACCCACTCAGTTTTGAGTTACACGTATCGCGCATACAAAGCAATTTTCTAATTTAAAACATGTTTTTTTTTATTTATGCTTTGAATTTTATTATTATTTGTAGAGATAACTTCATATTTTCATTATTTCATTTGTATTTTTATAAAAGAAGAAAAAAAATGAAATTCAATTGACAAAATCTGGATTTGAAAATTGTTCAAAGAAAAAAAATCAAGAAAACAAAGACAATAAACTGAATTCATTCAACTGAAAAAAGCGTGTTATTTTTTGACTAAAAAAACCGAAAGGATTGTGATGAGTGCAGATATTAATATTCTTTCGATTCTTTGCTTTGTCATGTAGTATGTTATTGTATGCGTCAACCTTGATCTTTATATCGTCTTCATATATATATATATATATATATATATATATATATGTGTGTATGTGTGTGTGTGTGTTGGAAATTTGTTATATTTTCTTGTTTTATATTTATTTTCGTTTGAAAAAAGCATATAAAAACAATTGGAAAAAATTGGTTCGATAAATTCGATGACGATTATTAATAATCATTATCGTAGTCATCGTAATCATCGCCACCTTGACGACCAAATTTATGTGAACGTGTCGACATGCTTAGGTCCTTTGTTTCAGACGTTTCATAATTGCACTTTGGGCATGGAATTGGCGCATTTTTTTCATACTTGAATCCCTTACGTCTCACATGATCATCGCAATAGCAAACTTTACACCTTAAACACGAGTACTGCCCCATTTTATTGCAAGACTGACACTTATAACTTTCAGATTCGATAACTTGACATTTTGCCTAATTAAACGATAAAAAATAAACTTAATAAAGTTAATTTCTTTGTATTTATATTATTTGCGTTATTTTACTTGGTGCTCAAATTGGTCATCCTCGCAGAGAAACGATTGACAAAATGAACAATTAAAAATGCGACCCCCATGTTCGTAAACACTCCGCTCACATTCGATGCATACGGCATCAATCAACGGGCAAGTGCAAGCATGTGATTGCAAACATTTCTTTCCGTGACAAACAAATGCTTCACAAAAATCACATATTGCACCGACCTACAGGGAAAGACATTAGAATTAGCTTCAATTTTTGTTACATTTTTATCACTCACCATTCCTAGGCCAGTCGTAAACACTCCTACATGCTTTACAACACAATCTCCCGTCTTTAACATGCATTTCATCTTCCCGCATTGCCTAGGTTTAAACACAAAGAAAAGAATGAAAATAATGAAAATTAATCAATATGTAATGGAACGTAATGGAAGTAATGGAAACATATAATGAAAATTAAATATGTATAGTTTAAGAGCAAAGTAACCGTCACACATTTGCAACAACATTGCTTTAATTTGAGATTTGGTAGTAGTGTTAAGAATCGCGTTCTGTTGTGGAAGAACAGAACTAACAACTACTACCAAATCCTAGGGGATATCCATGCGAATTAGAATTAGCACATTAGCAAAAAAATAGGGAAATTTACATGAAGAAAATAGCAAAATTAGCAATAAATACCAGAATTAGCACTGTACACGTATATACTTTAGTAAGCATTTATTCTTGAATATATTGAAATAATTAATTAAAATAAAATTCACAAAACAAACGAATTGAATAGTGTTGAACTAAAATGTATCAAAATATGTAGTTAAATACGCTTTTTCTCATTTTTAAATAAAAATATATTCAATGGCACGTAACCAAGCACGTTTCATCTGTATTAACTACAATTTACGAATTGCAATCGGAAATGTAGATTTGATGACAGATTTCTTACTGAAAATGTATACGCTAGTGCCTGCTTCAAATATACACGTTGAAAGTGTCAACTTGAAACATTTACGTAAACACATTTCAGTTATTCGATCATGCTGTCAATCTGACGTATGCAATATTTTTGACGTACTAGAGAAATTAGCAAAAAATAGCAGTATTAGAACAAACTAGTAGAAATACTAGCAGAATTAGTGAAAAATAGAGAGAAATAGCGTTTATTATTATAAATTATTCGATCTGCAATTCACGGTTATCCCCTAGACCAAATCTCAATTTTTTTTCAGAAAAGTGTTTCCTTACTACTTTCTTACATACTAAATAGATTTTGATATTGTGATTTTTTGAAATGGATGTAATGGGAAAATAATCGAAAGGATGGATAGCATTCTTCAATAATGGAATAGTAATTTTTAAAGTAAGTATACTTACGCACAAATCGGTAAACGTTGAACCGACTGACAAAAGTAGCAAAATGCACGCGATTTTTGCTTTCGCTGGCATTTATCACACTGAAAATATTGTGAAAATTAAAAAATCAAAAAAACAAAACAATTGGCAATACTTTAAAAAGTTACAAAGAAATCTTTCTCTTTTGATCAAATCTATTATTTGTTGCTGTGAAAAGTGAAAGAGTTACAAACCTCCATTGATGCATTACACGGAACTTCAGCCAGTGATACAGCACGACTTCGTATTTCTCGTTGTCGTAATTTTTGCTTTTCAGCCTTTTTTCGTTGGCCTGTTTTCTTTTTCGGCATTGTTTTTTTTTAAATCAAAATTGATCCAATCCTAAAATCCAATAACACTATATCAACACAATGTTAGATTTTTTGGCAATTGTCAAATAACGCATACAACTGAACTGATACGAAAGTTAGATGAAACGTCAAATTCAAGGTAGAATTATGTAATGTCATATATCTGTCAGTGCACAATTTTGTGGTTGTGTTTGGTAGTCAACATTGAAAATGTTATAGAATTCAAAAGGTTATTTCTTGAAATTTTAATTAAAAATATCGTTATATTTTCTAATTCATAAAGATGATCCAAGCTATACGTGGTGGTGTAGGCCTTGTTTGTCTTCGATTGGCATCTACACCGATTCAAAACAAACGATTGGACGAAGACAGACTAAATTATCCAGTTTTACGAGATCCGAATTCTGGAATTGATAGAGTTTTGAAAATATTTAATCGGGAGTGAGTATTTTTTTTCATTTCTGAATACTTTTTGACACTGGCGCTCATATACAGCTATTTTTGCATGCATATTTAAAAATAGTGCTAAATTGCATCAGCCTTAATTGTTACAATTTGTCAACCGTTTTTTCAATCACAATTTAATTCTTATTCAAATTTTTTTGGTGTGCAAATCCAAATATCTTATATATGTCATTGTTTTGGTGTGATAGTGAAAATGATGGATCAATATCTCCCGAAGCTAGTTTTATTAGTATGGTTGGTTTCACCGGTGCATATATAGGAGCAATATATGGAGGAATATTGGAATCAAAACGCGCCAACATGAACTTTAGGGAGACCACAGAAGCAGTTCTTTACCAATCACGAAGAGAGGCTCAACGTGAACTTCAAAATAGTACAACAGTTGGTTTCGGTAAAGGTGTCTTTCGATGGGGAATTCGTTATGGAATTTTTTGCACTTCATTTACGTGGGTCGTGATTTATATGCGATATAGAATTACTATTCAATAAAATAAAATTTATATTTTTAGTGCGTTCAGTACAATAATATCCACGTTTCGCGGTGATACTGGAATCCTAGAATATTCGCTCGGTGGATTGCTTTCTGGCTCGCTATATAGATTCAGTTTGGGACCCAAAGGCATGATCAGTGGTGGATTTTTTGGAACCGTACTTGGCACTTTTTGTGGTGCTATTATATATTTAAGTTCAAAAATGACTGGCGTCAAAATGCAAGATATATACATAAATACACAGGTTTATTTCAAAGTTAAAGACAAAAATTTCCACGGAAGCGAAAGAGTAAGCCTATAAGTTCATTTTACCTTCTATTTTTTTTGACACTAATCTTTTTCCAATAACATTTCAGCATGGGGACGAACCAGATATAATAAGAGAGTGTTTCCATCCATATGGAGTTGAGATGTCAAACTCCCTTGATAGCCTTGAAGACATCAAGGATCTTTCTGAACTAAAGTTTAATAAAAATAGGATACCAATAACAAAAAATGTGGACTGTGGAGCAAAAATAAAATAAGTATTTTTTTAGAAAAATGAGCGAAATTTGTGATTTATTATATATGAATTGCGCGAGTCTCCATGTTTTCCGGATTAAAAAAAATCTTTTATTCGATTTGAAATGGATGTCTTTTATTCAATCACAAAATTAATAAGGTTTCATATGACTAGAACAAGGAAAAGCTTACGTTTACATAATAGAAAGAATAAAAATTACATTTGGCTAATAAGTAAAGGCTCAATCATATCATTCTCTTGTATCGTTCGATAAATTTTCATACAGATTGCACTTATTCGGTTGCATGGTGATATTTTACGAAAGCAATAGCCGCAAGCTCTTTACAAAATTCCTCCAACGCTACTAAACTTTCGAAAAGATGATCATGGTCTTCGTACGATTCACTAAGAAAGACAAAAAATATAAAAATGTCACTTACAAAATTACTAAATACATCTTATTAAAAAGTAAAAAAAAAATCGAAATATACCTCATAATTGGTGGATTGATAAGTAAACGTTTCGCTGTTTCGGTGATTCGCTTCTGAAATCCTTCGATGCGTGGTATTTCGAGAAGGAGGTGTCGTGCTAAAGTTTGCATGCTATTCCAGAGCGTATTTGTGCTTCGAGCTACAGGCAATTCTGGATTCAGTAGAATCTCATGCAAATATGGATGTGGAAAAAAGGACAATTTCGATAAAATCGCAATCACTGCAATATTCAATTCGTACGGAAACTTGGCCATATCTTTGACATGTAGAAATAATAAGCGCAACAAGGGCCCTTCATAAAACTGTTCAACAGCAATGCCACTGTCGCATGAGTGTAATTTACCTAAGGAGAGAATCACAAAAGAAAAGAACGAATAATCAACAAATAATCGAAAAATCGATTGTAATTTATCATTACATGCTGGAGCTGTGGGCAATAAAATTGGCGGCGGCGATTCAGGTGACTGCAAATCATAATCATCTTCTTTTGAACGACAAACAGCCTCGATGGGCCAATCAAATTGGGACGTTTTTGCAATCCAGTTCTATGTAAATCAAAAATACGTTATTCAAATAATCTTTCTTTTTTTTTGCTCAACCCAAACGTTTACCTTGTAGTGTCGATTAGCATCTTGTACGTATTCTTCATAGCATGTTCCAATGCTATCGCTGATGATTTGTCGTGGAAGCAACAGCAAGAAACTTTAACGAGAACAAGATGTTAGCCATTTTTTTGAATGATAATCGAATTTTTCCTGTGAAATATACTTATTGATGACTTTTAAGATGTTATTTGGCTTCAAAGTAACCGATTTAATTGCTTCCGATGCACTGGAGCGGTGTTTTTCCCGTTCATCTTCTTCATCAGACCAGGTTTGAATCGTTGATACCGCATTTCTATCGTAGTAGCCCCGCGTTTCAAGATATCGAAATAGCATATTATGCAAAATACGGGCGTTCGGATTATCAAGCAATGCCTACATAATTGAAAACCATCGATTGGAAAAACGTAAGCGTAAAAATCGATTGTTATAAAATGAAAATACCTCAACAAATTGAAGTGTTGGCAACAATATGTCTTGATTATCTTGGGCATTTTCGATGATAATGTTCAGTAAGCAATCAGTATGATTTATTGTCGGTGTATTTTCAATAGTACTCACAGCTAAATCGTCACCGTCCACAACAATCGGTGAACCGACCAGCCAAGTTGCTAGCTCTGAAATCAATAGCAAGAAATTAATTACATATTTTCCGATATTTTTCGATCAAGCTTACGATCATTGAAGATCGGGGCATCAGTTTGTCGAATAATTTTTGCCATCAAGACTAGCATGAAACCAACAATGCTGGTGTCCAGAATGGAAATCATTGGTTCGATGCTCAGTTCGAATAAGTTAACTCGAAAGTTTTCAGCCAAATGTTGTACAATTTCCGAAACTCCGCATTCTTTGGCCACTCGATTTGCATAGTCCAACCAACATAGGAATTCCATAAGTTGCGGTTTTCCGATAAAATATTGTGCTTCTGAATCACGTGGTAATAAACTGAAATGTCAAAAACAAAATCTCTTAGAAATATACGCTTGAATTCATTTGGAATAAAATTCATACCCCCAATATGAGACGCAGTCTTCGATTTCGCCAGTATCCATGTCCTCTGGAATTTCTTGGCATAAAAATGCGAGCTTTTGGCTCAATTGTTTTGCAAACATGTGAAATGATGACTTTTGTGCATTGCATTTAATTCCGATCGACGGTAATGACATTAAAATAAGTGCAGCTTCACATGCTCGTACGACAACAACGCTATCCTGTGATTTTCAGATTAACAACATTGATGTTTAGTCAAAATGTAATAAATCAATGTTGACAATATAACTATATACTAACCGCACTATCAATGTATCTCAAAACAGTGTTGAGCAAAATGAATGAATCATTTTCCGTACAGTCACAGCCAATATCAGTATAGTCTTGCATGTTTAATTTTGATGGTTCCTGAACGGCTTTATCTGTTTCATCTTGCTCAGATGTGTCAATTGTTCTATCTTGTAGCAGTGATACTTGTCTAACTTGCGATTCCAATTTTGCATGTTCAAATAGCGGATTTTTCACCGGAGCTCTCATTCCAAGCAAAGGATTGAGTGACGCAACTGCCCACGAATGCTCATGTGCCGGCAAAAATAGGTGGAGCAAAAGTGGTTCTTTCCGAATAACACCGGCCACATTCAAAAGAAACACAATTTCTTCTTGCTCATATGGACTGGCATGACCAGCCGCACTACTACAATAGGCTATTAATTTCTGATTGTCATCATAAAGTGATAAGATGAAAATAAATAAATTTCACAATTCGATTGGCAAGTATTGCTTATTTTGAAATACCTGTATTGGTTGTAAAATACTTTTATGATCTAATCTAGGCTGTTGCAAACACGTTAGAAATCGACGCATCCAAGGTAAAACGCAGCCAGTGGCGCCAATTGGTGAATCTAAGCGACAAATATCGACGAGTAAGTCAAGCGGCCGGTTCGTAAGGACAAAATCAAAACATTCTTTCGACACGTAACTGCCACTGCACATTGATTTAAATGGCGTTGAAAGTTCACAATTTGTAATTTGTACGTCCTCGTTAATTTTGCAATCTTCTTCGATTATCAATTTAAGCATTTCCTCTAGATGTACGGTCAAATTTGTGTTCTCAATATGAACTTTGGGCATTATTTTGTTTTCTGCATAAAAGTTTTTCACATGTTTCCAATGATATTCCAAATTTTGTAATGGGGTTGGCGGCGGCGCTAGCTGTTATTAGATAAATTCAAATGAAATTGATTACAAAACAGACATATTATTGAGAAACGAGGAATCTCAAATATTTACTCGACGATTGTGTCAAAAAAAAACAAACAAAACATTTTACTCACAACTTCAGCTGCTGTCTGAAGTGCTTCGTTAAATCGACCAAGCATTTTGTTCCGAATTTTCGATATCGATTTAAAAAGCGTCAAAAAACATTTGTTTTTGTTCTTATAAAAAAAAACACTCAACTGTGAGCAAGAACAAAAAAAAACTATTTTCTATAGAAAGTCCGTATTTACATTTTTTTTAGCACAAAAAATAATGAGTTTGCACACACACGTCGTCCAATTCAATTGTAAAAAAAATTAATTACTGATTACGGGCACAATAAAAATAGCACTTGTTTGGCAAGTGACACACAAAAAAGCAGGCGAAGAATACACACTAAAGTGTTAATAAATAAATGTAAATCCTAATGAGTGATTTACTATATGTCCATCGAATCTGATCTCTATCTATGCATCAAACTATAAATTAGAATACGATTTAATCAAAAACTTATAATTCTGATTTTATAAAATGTCGTCATTCATCATTAAACTTGTATTGCTAGTTTCTTTTTTCTTCATCCGATCGGGCTTTATATTTGTGTACGTCGTTGTCGTATAAAAACAGAAACTATCAAAACTCACCGTAAAGTGAGCTCAATCGAGAATCTGTCAAAAAAATTAGTTCCGTCAACGGCCATCAATAACCGATGGCGTTCTGACATTTCACATTGTGTTTTCATTTACCGCACGAAGTTGTGTAAAACCACAAGGTTTCAGCTGAAATTTTTTTCATCCATAAATATTCAATAAATAATTTTCAACTCAATCTAATTAGCGACATCATTTTCAAGATGAGTGTTAATGAGTTACCCGCATTACCCGAAAATGAAAAAACATACGCAGGCATACCAGAGGCCGTGTTTGTGGTGAGTAATGAAAAATAACCTGCAAATTTGGTACATTCTTTGCTAAATATAAAATAAATATATTTTGATTGCGATTGGATTCTAGGAGGATGTTGATTCGTTTATGGCATTATCCGAAAATGATAACAGTGCCGATAAAGTGTTGCGCCGCTTGGACGAACAACATAGTAAATATAAATTGATGGAGTACAATATAAGTGCCCGTCGGCGAAAATTAAAATTCCAAATACCCGATTTGGCCAAATCAATTGAAATGCTCGACACTTTGCGCGGACAAGATGAAAACAAAGAAACACAATTTTTACTGAGTGAACAAGTGTTTTTGAAAGCAACCGTTCCACCAACGAAAACTGTATGCTTATGGCTCGGTGCAAATGTAATGCTTGAATATCCATTGGATGAGGCCGAAGTTTTATTAAAACAAAACATGGAATCGGCCGAAACTAATCTGAAGTGTTTGGAGCATGACCAAGACTTTTTGCGGTAACAAGTATAAAAGGCAATTTTTTATTTTTTATTTTAATTGAATTTTATTATGGCAGGGATCAATTGACAACAACGGAAGTGAATATGGCCCGTGTCTACAATTGGGATGTAAAAAGACGTCAATCGGGTGGCCTAACCTCGGTGAAGAACTGATCGAGAACGTTCACAAATTGAAAAGAAAAAAAAAACAAACTGAGTTTTACAGCAACATTTAAGAATTTTCTCATCTTCTCATACCAATTCTCCAAATTTTATTGCATTTAATTATGGCTGTTATGTATAAGATCGTTCATATCAGGCCACTATAAACTTATTTAGAGAGACTAACTTCTTCAAATTTGAATAAACTATATATCAATCCGATTTTTGTTATTAAATAAACAAAAAAAAAATAAACTAATCATAAAACGTACAAAGTTTATCATCGATATTTATTAATTTGGAAAAACGAATGAGTCATTCTCTGGCCAAACAAATGATTCGATCCATTCCAAGTAAAAAGCAACTGGCGTGTAAATTTCTGGTAGACCAGTTCCACAGGCTGTGAACCACAGCTTACACCAAATGATACAATGCCAACAATTTAAGCAATATCTTCGTTAGGAATCTTACGTTGAAGCATGGGTACAATTTATCTTTAATGAATTGAATTTCCGTTTCAGTGCGAATCAATACAATGTCATTTTTCTTCGAAATGAATGAATAATTTGAATGCCGTATAACTTCCTATTTTAAAGATATAAAAAACGCCTATCAGTAATAACTTATTTGTTTAAGTTCGATATTCACCTGTATTTTATGATGAGAAGCAACTCCTTTCAAAGATGTCTGCAAAAATGATTTCGCAAATAATTGAGTTTGATTTTTTAAGAATTAATATGAATAATGAAGCAAAAAATGTATATTCTTACTTCTCCTACACGGACAGTTACTGGCGGCCGCTTTTTCCTCACGCAGTGTGCAGTTAGTACAAAAGTATTCGATAGAATTGTACCTCCACAATTATATTCATAATCACTTGTATTACTTTTTAAATATCCCAAAGCAGCCTGTGGAAGAAATAATTAAAACCATTGACAAATTTCTTTCACATTTTTAATCCAATACTCACCATCCATGGAAATTCATCGCTTGCCGCAGGTTCTTTTCCCAAATCACCGCTGATACCACGCTTTGGTACAGTATATTCATTCCTATAAAAATCACAAGCTGTAAACAAAAATCAAAGATTCATTTCAAGTTATGTGATTGAATGAAATTATTTAAATGTTAAACCTTTCGCCGCAGGTCTAATTAGTTGTCTTAGTGTCTCAATAACATTCATATGACCTATCAAAAGAAGATATTCTTTCAATTTATAAATTGAATTTATGACACATTTTCCATTAAATACCATGCTTATCTGCAATATCTCTGGGAGTTTTTCCGTCATTCGCTGTAATACTATCATCGGCACCATTCAAAATAAGCTTTTCAGCGACCTTGTCATATCCTATGTATTGCAATATTGAAATGTATCTATATTATAAAAACGAAATGCCATTCTTTTGTCCTTAACTCCTCTCACAATTTTCAACCGATCTGAACCAAACTTTACACCCTTATACTTTAGACCGAGATCTAGGTCACCATGAGGTTTTGGACCAAATTGGACTACTCCATCACGGTCGATTTTTATTTTTTAAATATTTGTATGGGCGATGTCAAAATTTGTAAATTTCATGATCAAATTCGGATTCCTCGGCCCAAAATTATGGGAGAGGGGTACTTTTGAAGTTGGTTTAACAGCCATCGTTGTCTAATATGAGTTAAAACGTTTTATCACCGTTATCATGTTTTAACAACTTTTAACATCTTTTAACACGGTAAATGAGGTCAGAAGCATGGTCCATCATGGTCTAACACGATTTAACACGGTAAATGAGGTTGGAAATCATGGAACATCATGGCCAAACAACATTTATCACGGTTATTGAGGTCGGACAACATGGTAAATCATGGCCTAACAACATTTAGCACGGTTATTGAGGTGGAAAATCATGGTACATCATGTTCTAACACGATTTAACACGGTTATTGAGGTGGGACAACATGGTACACCATGGTCTAACACGATTTTAACACGGTAAATGAGGTTGGAAATCATGGAACATCATGGTCTAACAACATTTAACATGGTTATTGAGGTCGGACAAGATGGTAAATCATGGTCTAACAACATTTAACACGGTTATTGAGGTGGGACCGTGGGACAACATGGTAAATCATGGTCTAACACGATTTAACACGGTTATTAAGATGGGACAACATGGTACATCATGGTCTAACACGATTTAACACGGTAAATGAAGTTGGAAATCATGGTAAATCATGGCCTAACAACATTTAACACGGTTATTGATGTGGGACATCATGGTAATCATGGTCTAACAACATTTAATACGGTAAATGAGGTTGAAAATCATGGTACATCATGCCCTAACAACATTTAACACGGTTATTGAGGTGAGGCAACATGGTAAATCATGGCCTAACAACATTTAACACGGTTATTGATGTGGGACAACATGGTAAATCATGGTCTAACACGATTTAACACGATAAAATTTACTAAGTCACACTTCGGTCATATTTAATTACAAATTGAAAATTCAATTACGTCAATTCAAAATATTAAGGAAACATAAATGTTTTTTCAAAACCCAAAAATGAACAAAACAATGCAAAAATCAAAAATCAAAAATGTTTCATTTACAAATTTTACTTAAGTATCTAATATTGCCACTATTAAGCTTGACTTTCCTATCATTCGTCTTATTAAATAATCTTATAGATTTACAGTTCCAAAAAATTCGCAAAAACTGTATCCGGCAATTTCTCTAGTTTTCTTTTAAATTCATAGATAGGTAATGTCGGATCTATGAACAGGGCTGTGTGATTAAATGCCCTACATGCTGTATTTAGAGCTGAATTGAGTCCGTAATCTGTTCTATAAAAACACAGTCTTATGAATTCGGGATTTCTAATCGTTCTTCTGCCTGTATTTATATGCAATTGTTGTCTAATCTCTGGAGCTTGGTATCTGCCTGAAATTATTTTGTACAAGAGCATTATTATCGCGTTTATTCTTCTTCTAGTTAACGTTGATAACTCTAAATCTTTACATCGTTCCACATATGGTGCCAAGATATAATTATTTTCTGCGCGATTTAAGTAGTCTCCGTTTAAGTACATCACAGCCTGTTTTTGTACACTTTCGATCAAATTTCTCTGATTTTTTTGGTACGGATTCCAAATTGCACTAGCAAACTCAAGATTTGAGCGGACCAATGAAATATATAGCAGTTTCGCAATATCTATGTTAAACTTTCTGCGACATGTTCTCTGTACAAATGCCAGCATTGCCGTTGACTTCTTTTTAATCAGTTCAATGTGTGAATTGAAACTTAACTTTGAATCGATCAACACACCCAAATCTCTTATCTCATTTACTCGTTCAATTTTCATTCCATTGATGTAATAATCATTTATTATTGTTTGTCTTTTATGTATGAGTGTAATAACCTTACATTTTTCAATGTTTACTGATAGTGAATAATCCTTACACCACTTTGCGAAATTATCTATCGATTTCTGTAGTTGTTGTGTGTCGTTACTGTTCTTTATAATACGAAAAATCTTCTTGTCGTCTGCAAAATTTAGGGCTTTGGAATCACCAATGTTGTCATCCGAACCATTGAAGAATATCAAGAACAGCAATGGTCCCAAAATAGTGCCCTCACAGTAAGAAAATATCAGCCGACGCTATACGCAAAACCGACTGGTACGTGCGCTCATACGTTTTTACATCTTTTACATCTAGTGACCATACGATTTTTCGACTGATTCGTTACTCTTTGTGCGTATCTTCGCACAGTTAAAAAATCGTATGGTCACTAGAAGTAAAAGATGTAAAAACGTATGAGCGCACGTACCAGTCGGTTTTGCGTATAGCGTCGGCTGATATTTTCTTTCTGTGCTGCCCTACTGATGATGGTACTTTGAATTCCCTTGAAATTGATGAGTTTAGCCTTACTGATAATGTTCTATTTTCAAAGTATGAGACAAACCATCTCAGTGTATCATTACTCAGTGGAAATTTCGCCATTTCTCTAATCAGAAGACTATGTCTTACAACATCAAAAGCTTTATGTATGTCCGCATAAAAAATGTCTATCTGTGCACCATTCTCAAATGCATCCACTGCGTTTGTCGTAAGCTCCAATAGATTTGTTTCTATGTTTCTAGTAGCTTGAAATGCATGTTGATTTTTGGACAGCAATGGCAGTACTGTTAATTGTAGTTGATTGTTAATAACTCTTTCAAAGATTTTTGCCAATATCGACATTATAGACACTCCTCTGTAGTTTCTTACATTCGATTTTTTGCCTGCTTTGTGAATTGGTATAATATGGCCAGATTTCCATTGAATGGGGTATACACAATTACACATTGATTAACTGATTCATCGAAAATAATTTTCAACGGCTCTGCTAAAAGTTCTGCACAATTTTAAAAGAATATTGGTGCTATATTATCCGGGCTAGATTTTTTGTTGAGATCTAATGTTTCCAGGACTCTCATGACTGCTTCCGTTGTTATCGATATCTTAAAGCACCCATGATCACTTCTATTTTTGATGAACTCTCCCAGTTCTTGATCTTCGTCATATTCGACGTATACCGATGAAAAGAACTTCGCGAATAAATTTGCTTTATCATTGTCACATTGCGCTGATTCTCCATCTAATTCCACTTTACATGGTACGCCACTCGATTTTCTTCGTCCATTCACATGTTGCCAGAATTTCTTTGGATTATGCTTGGAGTTTACAGCAATTTCTTTAATATAATTGTTGTAGCATTCACTGTGATAATCATCAAAATTCGTTTTGGCCTTAACGAACTCCGATACATCAGCGTTATCGTTTCTATATCTTCTCCTGACTAGTTTCTTATATTCTCTATTTCTTATGTTTTTTAAATTTATCAGTCTTTTGTTGAACCATATAGGTTTATTTGATATTTTTAATGACGATTTTGGTACGTGCTGATCACAGATTTTATATATTATTTCATAAAAAGCTTCCATCATCATATTAATGTCTTCAAAGTTTATTAAATGATCAAAATCAATATATGACAAACTCTCTCTTATTTCTTCGTAGTTTGCTTTATTAAAACAGAATCTCGATGCATCTGTACACTCCGGAACATAGACTTTTGGTTGGCATTCCAACACACACATTGTTTGAACATGTGCTTTGTCTGACATCAAATCTGGTATTAATTTGATATCCGCTCTTTCCATGCATGCTAGTTCTGGCATATTTGTGTAAAATAGGTCTAAAACATTTCCACTCACATTCTCAAAATCACACAATTGAGATAGACCCATCTCCAATAGTTTATTCGATATTATTCTCGCAATTACAGCTCTTTGACTTTCTGATTCTCCCAGTATGGGTAAAAAGCTCAATCCATCATCATTGATATGCCACTTTATCTCTGGCAAATTCCAGTCACCACAGTATAGCACTATATCCTTTACCGACCTTACTTTTTCAATTGAATTTATAGCCTTCAGGTGATTTTCATATATTTCTAATGGTGATCTCGGCTGAATATACGCACAGTATATATAAACAAAGCAGTAAGTCAGTCTTATTTTTACACATACAGCCTCTAAGTTTGACATTTCTTGCGTCTTAAATTCTTCACCATCAAGTTCCGATTTAAGTGCGATCAACACACCACCTTCATTTTCTTCATTCATTTCTGCTTCTTCTCTGTTGTTATCGTATAGTAGATGTGGACTTGATTACAGGGTGTGCCAGAATAACTGTCGGGTTTATATGTAATATTGTTCTTGCTACAGCCAAGTCTCAATGTACAAAATGATCGTGTGTATGCAGTGTCTGCAGTAGACATTCCTGAATACGAAAAGACCGTTGAACGATTTCAGAATGTTCCAAAAGTGATGGTTTGGGGCGCATTTTCGGCCGATCGAAAATTTCCTCTGGTTTTCATCGAAAAAGACGTAAAAATCAACGCTAAATTTCAGTGACCGGTTCGCGCATATTTCTATGCCTGATAGCTATGCTAAGCATAGCGGAGACGTAAGCCGCAACGCACCCGTCGCCATTCGATTCGAGCTATATTGTATGCGCACGGTCGTCTGCATAAACGAACATGTGTATTGTTCATATAGAGTGAACGGCGATGCGTCGGTTGCGTTTGCGGCTATGCTTGGCATATCTATGCTACCTAGCGTATTTAGGCAAGCATAGAAATATGCGCGAACCGGTCACTGCTAAATTTTATAAACAAGAAATATTGGGCAAAAATCTGTTGCCACAAGCCAAGATATTGTTTCAAAACAAACCGTGGGTGTTTCAGCAGGATGGCGCACCTGCACACCGAAGTAAAACAGTGCAACAGTGGTTACGAACAAACAGTGCAACAGTGGTTACGAACAAATTTGGCCGATTTCATTGACAAAGATTCATGACCGCCATCGTCTCCCGACTTAAACCCATTGGATTTTTTTGCTTGAGGCTACATGACATCGAAGCTCAATCGTCTAAAGATTACTAACCAGTAATAGCACCATAGTGTGACTCGCCGATTTAGATGGGCATATAGGGGGAGGCAAAAGTTTTAAGCCTGATATAGCAAGACACGTTGTATTTTTAAATGAGTATATTTATTATTCAAAGTAGTCTCCATAACGATGCTTCAATGCTTTAATTCCCCCCTCAAACCATTCGGCACTCTTGTCCTCCCATACGTTGAAAATATCGGTTGAAATCTCTTCTTCGGAATCATATTGCTTCCCCTTCAGATATCTTTTGGTGTTTGGGAACAGGAAATAGTCGCTGGGGGCCAGATCTGGAGAATACGGTGGATGGTGGAGTTGTTCGAACCCACATTCCCTGATGGCAGCTTGTGCAAGCAATGATTTGTGAGACGGTGCATTGTCATGCAAAAGAAGAACTTTTCGAGTGAGAAGACTAGGGCGTTTTTCTCTGATGGCTTTGCGCAATCTATGCATCTGTTGTGCATAATAATAGCCCGTGACTGTGGTGTTCTTTGGGAGGAATTCAACCAATATTATGCCTTTGGAATTCCAGAACACAGAGGCCATTACTTTGTTTGTGGCAATTTGTTTGCGAGGCATTTTCGATGCTGGTTCACCACGTTTGTGCCATTCCATTGTCTGTGATTTGAGCTCTGGATCATAGTAGTAGATCCATGTTTCATCGCCAGTCACTATACGATCAAAAGTATCCCCTTCATTCCATTCCAACAACTCGAGAAACTCATGTGCAGCAGCAACTCGTTCTTCTTTTTGAGACTTGTTCAAAGTTCTTGGAATCCATCGCGAGCAAACCTTTCTCATGAGCAATTTTTCATGAAGGATTCTAAATATACTTCTCTGTGACACGTCAAACATTGCTGCTAACACTTTCTTGCTCATTCGAGGATTTTAATGCACAAGGTGTTTAATTTTTTCCACCATATCTGGAGCAGTTGCTTCAATTGGTCGACCAGAACTTGGATCGTCTTCTAATGACTCTCTACCCCACTTGAATTGTTTTGCCCAAAGTTTTACTGTGGCATACGATGGAGCACGTTCACCATAAACTGCACGCAAGCGATCATCGATATCTTTTGGTGCCACACCTTCTTTTGTCAGAAACTTAATCACCGCACGATATTCGATTTTATCCATTTTATAAAAAATCTCGAGGTTACTTCGTATGCAATGCTGTTGAAAACAAACGATGACAGCTATCAACTCAATTTTTTTTCTAAAATACTAGTGGCATTTTGTACGTGAATTACAGCACAAGAACAATAAGTAACTAGTGCCATCTATATGTCAGGCTTAAAACTTTTGCCTCCCCCTGTATGTCCATTGGATAGAATGTGCGGAGAAAATAAGTTTGTGAAAATTGGGGGTGCGGAGTCGGGGTATTAAGGGCAGGGGGGCACCCCCCATTGTCAAAACTTCATCGGATCAAAAAATAATGTACTACAAAGTTGTTCAGAATGACGAGAGAAATTCTTTATGACCCCTGCCCTCCAAGTCCCCCCACCCCCCAGGGGGGTCATAACTCCTTCACCCATGATTTTTTTGACTCGAAACCTCGAAATTTGGAATCAGCATGCCAAAATACCCTAGAAATGATGTTCGTCTCGCACCCATTCACCCCAGGTCTCCCAACAATTTAGTGCCCCCCCATTGGGGTCAAATGATAAAAAGTCGATTTTTGGGTGCGGAATTTTGCACTCAAATGTATGGCCATTGGCCAACTATAACTAATTCGTAGCGGTGCAGTGGAGGGCACGTAATGGAACTACGTGCCCATCACACCACGTGTTTTTGAAATAAAGTGATGAAATTCTAATTTATTAATGTGAGTTTGATATATATTTTATTATTATGATAAAATAACAGTGAAAAAAATGTGTGAAAACATATGTATTGAAAATTTCAAAAAAATTAGTTTAAATTTCTTGAATTGAATTGGTAAAATTTCTTATTATTTACAAGGT